CCCTTTGGATGAACAATAGCAATGAAGTGAATCTGATGCAAAACCAGAAAACATACTACCGAAAACGTAACATTAAAAATAGATACAATGAATGAGCTCTGCTTCTTTAAGTCACAGAACTGTATCTAATATGGTGGTAAATAGCTTGCTGAATGTTTTTGTAATTTTCTTGTCATTTTCCTTGTAATTCAATTCGGATTTTTTTGATCTTTCAAAAAAACCTTTTCCTTACCATAGGTACCTGATGCTCCACCAGCTTATACCAAAATTACCGCAGATCAATCACCACCACCTTATTCACCATGATACCATGAAATTTGAAACCCTAAACATACTGATTCCATTTACTCATGTTCGCTCTTTATTTCCTGTATATGCTTAACTTCCTTAAAGCTAAAATCATATAAATAAAACAATATGTTTTCATTAGCAGTTGCTGAAAACTATTCCTGCTTAATTTACAGAACTAGTCCTTGAAATACCTTAATAAATCTGATTGTGCATTTGTCTTAAGCTTTTCACTTCTTGCAGTCAGATTAATACATTATGGTCTGGTCATTTTGAATCCTTCATAGGTCTACATAGATCTGTAATCACACAGTAGTCAGAATTAATCAGAGTAAAAAGTGACAGCACCTTTGTTTTCATCTTCCTCATTTAGTTTCCCTTTCTTTAAACAATAATAAAAACCCCAAAACACCAAAACAACAACAACAGACACACACAAAAAACCCATCAAAAACAAACAAACCAACAAAAACCAAACAAGTATTCCTTAGAACAGGATGTAAAATAATCTGTCACAAAATGAAACAAGCCATTTGACTAAATGTCCTCTTACAGACTTCTTTCCTCACCAGCACTTTTAAAATCAACTTCCAAAAAGTGACTATGTTTTATAACACACTTTTACCACATATCAATTTTTATGTACCTGTAATGAATAAATTCCTCATAAAACATATTCAATCTAGGCAATCTAGGAATTTCTGCTTGGAGTCCATATTATTTCATACTGCAAATGGATATAATGACATCATCTTTTGTTTCCTTGTGACAGTCGTGAGAGAACAAAAGAGCTTTGTAAATATAAAGACTTACATGCCATTTCTGCCATTTCTTTCTAATATGATGAAACTATATAAGAAAATGCACAAAACCCATGTTTCTTGAAGAATTCAGAAGACAGCAGATTCCTAGATGTTAAATAAGCAGAAATAAAAAACAAAGGATTTTGATATTCATAAACTGGCTACATACATTTGATAAGTTACTGTTTACTCAGCACTTTTTTTATTGCTTGCTTGCCAGATTATTACTTAAGATTATATGCACATCAATAAATTTATACACAAGGCCTGATATCGCACAGCAGGAGGCGGCTAGAATGGTACAACATTCATTAAAATCAAAACTAGTTACAGAAGAAAACTGATTTCATAAAGCAATTATTAACTGCTATTAGTAAAGGATCTAGTTCTTTGTCATCAAATATGCAAATACAAACATATTAAAACAAAATAAGTTTTTAACACAAGGCATGGTTACTTGCTTAACATAACTGATAAATAATAAAGCCAGTTTTTGTGAAATGTTTCTTCTGTAATAAAAATATTTATATACATTAGTAAAATGTTTATACAGATTAGTAAAATTGTTGGAAGGTAGTAAATATCAGTAATTGCTGTGAAAGGTTAAATCCATACATATGTTTTAATAAATTTAGTAGATATATTTATTTAGAAACTTAGAGATGCATTTTCTATTTTAACATAAAAAGCTGTCTTATCTTTGTTATTTCCAATATCCACCTGTCAGAAAAAAACTGTGTAATTACTTAGCAACAGGAAAAAGAATAAAGAGGAAAACATAAAAAAATTCCATCGTATAGCTAGTAAGCACTAGAGATGTAGAACACAATGTCTCACTAATTTTCTTGCAGGAATGGTAAGCTAAAGCTTGGGGCTGAGATCTTTAAAAACTCAGTACTCTCCTTTAGGGCAGCATCCTTTCAAAAGACTTTAGTACTACAGTGGATTAGAACTGATATATGCAGTCATTTTCTCGTGTCTGAGGAAAAAAACAATTAAAAATCAATAGAGATTATTTACTATGAAGAAGTGCTTAGAGTTCAAAAAGCTTTACTTGATTGCCCCTATTTTTAGTAGTGGCAGACTTAAATATATTACCAGATGTTGCACAAGCTTATGAGGAAGTTAACACTGATGAAGTAGAAACATTGATTTCTTTGTGGGACTATGTAAGGCTAAATTATTAAAACTCTGCAGCAGCCAGAACTGGAACAATTAAACTTTGTTCTGAATTTACAGCTACTTACAGGATAGATAAGCCCTCTTGGAAACATATCCTTAGTTTTCAGAAAGTTGTCTTCTTATTTCTCCTGGTGAAACTAGTATTTTTGCTTTATGGACACAGACAGTGGTCTCAGATTTAAGTGCATTAAAATTAGAGCATGAAATAGAGCTTCACAGAGCACTCAAATAGTTGTAGATTTCATCACTCATGCTGAATGGCATTCTAAATTCCATTTTTCAAATCTGCCTCTATACCCAGTGAGGGTACATGGCAGTGTCTGGCTGCTGACTCATTAAAACAGAGAAATACTGATACAAGACAAGGTCAGACCTTGAAAACTAGAGACCTGTAATTGCTGAAGTTGCATGATGCAAGAACTGGTACTTTCTGTATTGCACTCAGTAACACTGCACTTTACCAAAGACTGGTTTAAACATTCCAGGACACCTGCTCCTTTAGTAAGAAATGTACAGAAATGTTTTAATTACCATATATGGAGAACATGGTGTTCTCCATGAACAGGGTGTTCAACCTTCCTGGAAAGTCTTTCAGATTAGACAGTTATATGACCCCAGTAACTGGTCGCCAAAATTTAGATTCATAATTTCTTTAGTTTAGTCATGTATGTATTAGAGAGGATGTAAAAGGTCTTCTGCCCCTCTGGTTTTTACCCTCTTTGCAATCAGGCTGCTATAAGATGCCTTGTATTACAAGTATAATTTTGAATAAACATTATATTTGTGCTCCATTTTCTTCCATCAAAAAAGCTAATAAAGTAATTCATGGGCAATTTTGAGTGTTTCCCTGGGATGCCAACAAAGAGGTGGCTGGTCATAGCTGGAGAATGACACTCTGCTTGCTGTTTATCAGCACTATCAGAGCAGCAGACGCTGTTACTACAGCTTATCTGTAACAAGAGGCTCTTAGGAACTTCATAGCTATGCATGCAACCCTTATGTAGATGCAACAAATACTTCAAAAACAGACCCCTTAATACAGTGTGTTTTGGTCAGATTGGTAAATTAGAATGGCAATAGCAGTTACACTGTGTTTGGATTCCTGGTATGATCCTGTTGGAGCATCTACTTTCTAATGCAGTTACAAGCCTTAACATAGCCTTCAAAGCCATTGAACAAAGGTAAAATGCAGCAGGTCTCAATGAGTTCAATCCTCCTGGTATACTGCACCATGCAGCAAAACAGCCTCTTGAGGAAAGAGCCTATACACGTCAGAAAGTTATCTTAAAAGTACCACAAACCTTCCATAGGAAGTGCTTGCTTTTTTAGAGTCTCACTAGTCTAGTGTAAATTACTGGCATTTGGAGCTGGTTGCTGGGAGAATCCAGTGACATTCATCTCAGCAATGTCCTTTGGCTTAACTTCTGCTACAGCTGGGGATATATGTATATTATCTTGGCCATAAGAACTGTATTAGTTTTAGCCATATTGCCTGTAAATTTTCAGTGATATACTTTTATGTCTAACATTGGTAGAATATCCATTACTTTGTTAGTGTTACGTCCATGTACTCATATTACATAAGAGTGTATCTTTTGCTTTTAAAAGCAAACTTCTTTTCACTTCTTATGTAAAGAAAAAGTTTATAATTTTCTTTGTCTTTGGAGAAGTAGTATTTATGCACTTGTACTTTTCTGTTGACTACATATTAAACTGTGCAACAAAGCTGAAAGGTTGTTGTGTGTTCATGACATTTCATTAAACATATTTTGCTGCCCATTAGAACTGAAAAGTGCTTGAAAATTTTCAGTGTTGTCTTTTGGACACAGATCTGCACTGAAATTTACATGCAGTAATAGAGGTAAACTAGCAGCAATACTAAGTTTAAAAAGCTGTCTACTGGTATCATCTAAACATCCCATATATGCTGCCAGCTAAAATCCAACACTTGTGCACTTTTTGGAATTCACTCTCCATATTTTACAGCCTTAGAAAACCTCACATTTTTACCTTACTTCTTTTATGCAAAAAGTCTTTGACTCAAAGGCAGCAGTCTTAGATTTCTAATGAACAAAATGAACAGTTGCTTCCCTTGCTGCCAAATTCTAGCTCTTCTAGATGTTTTGTCCACATAGATTTTACTCTTGTGCCAATAAAAAAGACTACATTTCTGGGGGTAGTGGTGTTCCTAACTGCCTTGTGCTCACAGCAATATGAAGAAGGCTCATCCATCTTATCCTCATCCACCATGAACCATCTCACAAATCACACTGGATCACATCTCTCACACTGGAACAGATTGCCCAGGGAAGTTGTGGAGTCTCCCTTACTGGAAATATTCAAGAACCATCTGGAGCATCTTGTGCAATGTGCGCTGGGATGATTCTGCTTGAGCAGGGAGATTGGATCAGGTGATCTGCTGTGGTCCCTTCCAACCTGACTCATTCTCTGCTTATGTGATTCTATGACATTTATTCATCAAAAAAGAAACAGAGACTATTGGGCCCTATTTAACTACAGAAATAAGGGAAGAATTTATAATCCATTGTGACAACACTATTGACATTAAATGTCACAGTTACTGCCTCCTCTTGTTTCCCCAGAAAGCTCTTTGCATGGGATAGCTGCAAACTCCAGTCTTGGTGGATTCACATGGGTGAAAATCTGAACAATGCTTAAGCCGCACATGTGCATTCACTTTTCCAAAACATTTTAGTATAGCCTCAATTAGATTTGGACCACATGCTTTATTTGCTCCTTTCCCGAGAGATACATCACATGAGTTAAAATAAATACAAAAAAAGAGTGATAGCCTAATATAAATACTTCAGTCTTTCAATACTAATTTTGTAAAGCCTTTTCAACTCCACTAGCTTCCATCTCTGGATGGGAGAAACAGAATTCTCTGCTGCACATTTGCTATGTTCTCTGCATACACAGAAAAGCAGCCTTCTTTCTTCACATTTTTTTTTCATTTACCTTACCATCATCTTGTAGCTATAAGGTGAAAGATTTGACACATTTTTGTCGTAAAGTATTTTCTTAAGAAAGAGGTATCATCTTCCAAGTTCTATCAATTTGTCCTTTCCCATTCACCTTAAAAATAATTGATTTCTATTTCTCCATAGCACCATGTACATTTCAAGTAATTCATTGCTCCTGACATACTGCAGCAAAAGAATGGCTCTTTTTAGACATAGTTCAGTGCTAGATTTGATTCTGCAATGGTTTGCAGGAGGAATTTTAGGATTGTCATCTGGAAGCCATAAAAAAAGAGAAACCTTGGAACTGCTTCAAAATTTGCATTAGAACAAAAAAATCATATGGTAAGTGTGAATATTCCCTGACATTAATATCCTGTAGAGAAATCCTTGCAAGGATTAAAAGGTGTCAGGCGTTTATCTTATTATAAATTACTCCTATTTCTCTATCTCCAGGAAACTCAACCTGAACATTTTTGGTATCAACGCATATTTAATAAGCATGTCTTTCTTACATTCATAATTCCCAGGATTTGCAGCCCACAAGCAAATGGGATCTTCACTTCCTGCATTTTGGCTCCAATAACAGCTTCAGTCAACTCCTCATTCAAACCTTCTGCTGTTTAACAGGATTCATGCACCTCTCAAACCACTTCCTATAATGGAGAAGCAGTTTTATGCTTTTATATTCCTGTTTTTTCTGTTCTCCTTCTCTGACTTGCTGCTCCCGTTTTTCCAGTACTTGATTCTTTGGCCGAAAAATCTGCCCTTTCATGTCACAGACAAGCTCAGGCTGAGTTCACACAATTTTCATGGAATTATTGCTGGAGGCTGTGTATACATCCTGGGAAAATTAACTCCTACTTGATCTATTTCTTAATTCTTTCCACTAAGCACTGTCTACTGGCCACTACAGTGAGTGAAATGCCCAGTCCAAGTTGCAGCTAATACAAGGACAGGTCTGCTGCACCAGCCACATCACTTGCATTTCATGTGCCTAAATAAGAAATTCACTTTCAGACATGGGCTCTCTTTTAAAAAACACATTGGTTTTCCATCAATTTCTTAGGCCATGGAGGCGCAAATACTTCAGACAGGCCTCTTCCTTTGTTCTTCTGTGATGACACTGCAAAAAGCACTCTACTTATTTTGAAGGCATAACGTAGTTGAACTGTAGAACACTGTCCAGACAAGCCCCAAACAAACTATTGTAATTTTAGTATTGGTGTGTTGCTAATATGAATTGTCAACGTTCTTTAAAAATAGATGCATTGAATTCCTCCTTCCCAGCAGTAAAAATTTATTATAATACTAAAAATACCAGCTTTTTATATTTTAAGTGGAATCCATCATGATATTAGTCTTCCTTTATTATAAGACTACATAGTAATACCCAGTCACTAATTCCTTTGTTATTCAATTTCACTGCTGCATGTGATTAAAAAGAGAATGAGCAATGATTCTGTAAATAACAGCATGTTATGAGGGCAGATCCCAATGTATATGCTGGTACTGAATGGCAACAAACCATTGACAGCCAAAATAGTCTGATTTTATACATATTTATTCATTTTTGTGTATTTATACTTGAGATGGAACCAATATGAACAATTAATTAAACACGTATATTGTCTTCTTTTTATGATATCAGCATTGAAAAGCAAAGTTCTAAAGCCTGAAGACAATCACAAAAATCACAGTTTCTTTATTATCTTACCTTTGCAATTTAATTTTTATAAAAGCTGTTTGTCAATGCTCCTCACATTTTTGAAAATAATTTCATTTTCCAAATATTTTCTTCATTGTAAAAAGTGAGAACAGGGGAAGATAAAGAAAGTAATCCAGGTGTCTAACCTTTAGTTATGGATGGGATGCTGGAAGGTGTCAGGGGACCAAGGATTCTATTCCCAGTTTCTCCATGTTGCTATGAGAACTCAGAACTTCATTGTCTTCATCTGCAAAAGGCCGGAAATCATACTTATGCACATTTTAATAGACCTCCTGTGTAACAAATAATTTCAAGGAATATTATAAGCAATAAATTATGTTTTCTTTGCATTACCTTTACATACCATTTTCATTGAATATGCTTAGTTCAGCTGAGGTTGTAATAAAAGATGCTGTAAGAACACCATATTTCTGAAGAACTTCTGGACCAGTCACATATGAAACAATGAACTATCCTAGTTTCCTTTACTCAAGACATTCAGGTGTGATTACTGACTAGACGATTCCATATTTTGAGAAAATAGGAAAAGAGACCAAGAATTCTCAAGATTTTTAAGTTTTCTTTTATGCCACTGTAGTTTCAAGGAAAATTTTTTAAAATAACATTGCTCTGTGTCACATTTACAAAGTGGCTTCTTCAAGAACTAAAAAAATCTTTATCTGGATGCCCATATGTACAAAATGACCATATATAGATTTTATCTTGTATGCACAAAACCAATGAGATTTAAAAAGCATCATGTTGAAAATTATTACAACAGTTTGTCTTTTTACATCTTCAAGAGACATAAACCAAGCAAAAATAGGAACAGAGTGCCAGACTGCAGTGGTTTCAATAACCTGATGTCTTTACTGCTAAAATATTCTTCAAGTGGTATAGATTTATTGATGAATTGAGTTGACACTGATGTGAAGTTGGTTTACATTGATATTTCTATGAAAAAGTTAGTACAAGGCTAAATAAGTTAGAAACCAACCCACAAACACTGAAATAATTATTATAAAAGAAAAATCATCAACACACTGCTGAATAGCTCATAGGACCTTTAGAACATGCACTCTTCTGATACTACATCTCAAGGATATAGTATAATTGAAAAGGTATACAAAGCAATGACATAAAAGAAATAATTGAATTCACAATTTCTCTTTATTCTAGAAAAGAGATGACCAACATGGCAATGGTGTACATAGGCCATATGGAAAAATAGCAGAGCAAAGGCTTATTGTATCTTAAAATATAAATATAATTTGCAATCAAATGAAACTAGCAGGTGCCAGATTTAAAAACCAAAAAGGATGTACATAGGCCATATGGAAAAATAGCAGAGCAAAGGCTTATTGTATCTTAAAATATAAATATAATTTGCAATCAAATGAAACTAGCAGGTGCCAGGTTTAAAAACCAAAAAGGAGCTTTATTTACAAACTCTTTACCATTGGATGCTGTGAATGGTAAGTCTTTTTACGTACCCATAAATTCTTGAAAGGATTGGTGTATTTCATCAAGAGAAATACACTGAAAGCTATTAAATAAAAAAAAAATCACAGCTGTGTGAGGAATACTCTGGCTCACAGATTAGTGGATACTAAGATTATTAGTTTTTGTTCTCTTTTGGAATGCTACTGTTGAGTACTTCAAGTGACTAGGTAATGCTGGAATCATGGCCATCATAACAGGAGAGATGGATCTTAAGTCTGATGCAGTATTATTATTTTTGTTATTATTTTGAGTCAGTGAACTCATTTGAGGTGCAGCTTACAGAGAGCAGTCTACATGAGTTAAGTTTTTGTGAGCACCTCTGGCCATTCTATTCAAAGGAAACAGTCCTTAAACATAAGAAACATTCATGCTTCAATAAAAATTATTCATTTACTTTAAAATTGATTTTGGCTACTAAAGTTCTGCACTACCACAAAGTATAAGCAAAACCAACTATGAACCACAGACACTGTGGCAGCTATGGATGCCCGACAAATGCTAGCTTTTAGTAATTTTCTGACCTACTCCCATGAGACATTATAGTTTTATTCACTTACTTACCAGGAGAATTTTTGCTTCCCTTTTCACATTAAACCCTTTGCCATGTCACACAGTGAAATCAGCACAGATTTGAATGACTTGGCAGAAACACTTGGTTTGAATAAGCACGTCTATGACCCCTAAGACTTGTGAAATGTAATTGCTTCTAGAGTGGCAGAATCCCTATGAGAAAATGGCAGCACACACATGGGGGTTTGAACAATGAAGCAATATTAATCTAATTTTCTACTCATAGCAGAGCAAACTATTGTGAAGAACATGTCCATTCAGATAAATAATAAAAAGATGTAATTCAGAATATTCAAAGTCATTAGTAAACCTAGAATTCTGCATGTAATATAGTGTATGAATACGTGTATACAATATCAGAGGGTGTCCAAAAGCAAGGCATCTTACAAGCTCTGAAATGCTGAATGTGTTTTTTTAAAACACTGATTTATATATCTATGTTTATGTTTCTTTGAATGTCTTTTTAATTTCAAGTCAAGACACAGGCAGTTCTGCTTTTTCATTGTGTCTGCGAATATAATCTTTTTTACAGTTCCTTTTGTGTTACTGGTAGCACTATTCATTTGGTGGACTGCAAAAGGTACATAGCAAATTGTCAATGGGTATTCAGGTTCATTTGAAAAGAAGCCTTATCTCTGACAGACATTCATACTATCGGAGAAGAGTATTGATAATAGGAATTTTATTCATAAAAATCACTAAAACTTGGTTTTACATAATGAATGTTGCAAGCCCATTACATAGTAGTCTCAAGTCTTTCTCCAGTAGGATTTGGAATGTGAACATATGTCTGAGAATAAAAATCCATGAAAGCTGTAATTAAACTAACCAAACTTTTAATTTTGTAAAGTTTATGTCTGCCAAATTATAAAATATTTATGAAAATAATAAAATATTGCCATATTAATTAATAAATTGTCTTGGAAATCATTCAAGCAAGTTACTTGAGTCCTGAGTTCCTAAATTCAGCTTTTCTAACTTTTCTTTTTATTAGAATTATAGCATAAATCCTTCTATTACATTAGCACACAGAAAAATGCCATGCAAGAATTTTTTCTCCATCAAGAACAACTTCAATACTAGAACCTAGTCTTAAGCTTTCCAAACAATACAGACAACTCATACTACAGTAAACATAAATTAGAAAAAAGGAAAAAACAATCATTGCAAGAAAAAAGAAAAATCAAAAAAAGCGAATCCCAAGGTTCAACCAGTGAAATGGAAATAAAATTAATTACTGGTACATATAAGTTTTGGGTATGTAAAATGTCCATGAAGAAACTGCCATTCTCTGCCATCTCCCTCTGTTGGAAAAGTCACCTGCAGCATTCAACTGTAAAATGCAGTCAGACTTAAAAATCCTTAGTACTGTAAATTCTACAAGGGCATGCAAACACACTTAGTACCAGGTGTCTTCAAAATAAACTACAAAACACCTTCCATGACATGTAAGAAAAATCACAGCAGGTAGGTTTTTCTGAATTTAAACAAACCTTTCATTTCAAAACTGACAGCTTCCATCTTTCCCAGCCCTGAGATAAGATGGAGATTTCTAATCCAGAAAGATGCAATTTCTCAATGAAATTATTTTAATTAGTGCAAAAGGAAAGGTCCCTATGGAACACACAAGCCTTTCTTCCCCACCCCCTCCAGTTTCCCAGAACTTCAGCTAAATAGCTACCAGGTTACTTTTCAGAACAATTTAAAGGGCAGCTGACAGAGGCAGTAAGATGTGGTCCTGTTCTTCAACTCAATACCTGAACTGCAAAACTGTGCACAGCAAAAGGGGAAGGGAAGTAGAAAATTCAACAGTATGAAAGCAAAGGTTGAAGCTTCATTTTTTATGAAGCTCAGTCTATAAACACTGTTAAATACAGATGTGTAAGCTTTTATCCCCTTTGTCATAGCTATTTAAAAGGCAACGATCATTCATAAGCTCTTCTGAAATTCTCTCTTCTAGTTTCTAAAAAAAACTCAAACCAACAAACTCCACAAAAAATCCAACACATACGAAGACAACAATTCTAAATTCACCATCTTCTATAAGATGGGCACCCTTTCTCTATATGCAAAATCACAAAATATATAAAAAACTTATCTCCATGAGCACTGCAGCCAGCAGCTGTGAACTCAGCAGATCTGCAGAAAATAACCCAAAGGTTTTATCAGATCGAATGCTGAAACTAAGCCAATAAATACTGAATACACTGTATAAAAAGGGAAGGTTTATGCAATATATAAATTATCCCCATTCAAAGTATTAATAAAGCTTCTTTTAATCTTGTATGATGTTTTAGCACTCTCCTTCCAGATAGACCACTTACAAGCTAAAGAAAACATACAAAGCTATAAAGCATGACCAGTGAAAGAAATGGTAGTTGTTATGGCTAGATTGAAGATTAGTGAGTGACCTTGTTACAGTTACCAGATAATGTGGAAATACAAAAGGCTGTAAAACAGAGAACAATGAATTGTTCAACAGACCTTTGAGCTTTAAGACAAAGCATGGCAGTTCTTAAGAGCAGTCAGTGTGACTTAGACTGGTGTCTAGGAAGCCATTTGTAGCCTTACCATTTCACTACAGTTATTTAGGCAACATAAACAAACAATTAAGAATGGATGAAGTATGGGTTATCCTGGCCAATATAATGAGGAACAATAAGGAGGCCTTCCTTCCAAATCCAGTCAAATCATGTGAAATATAAAATCAGAGCAGAACAGAAGAGATTAAATAATTTCACCCTACCATACACCAAAAGAAAGATATATATCTATGTATGCATGTAGTTTCCCATGGTGTAACAGATACACATATTTTTTACTGCCAACACAAAGCAGTACAGCAACTTGATTTATTACATGCAGATTCTTCTGCATTGTTGCTAAACAGTACACTGGTCCAAAGTTACTAAAATACTTAAAAAACTATACATTATGTAAACAAAACATAAATAAGACAGCATAGTTCTTTGTACATATTATTTAGTACAGATTTTTAGGAGTTCAGGAATATGTACAATTCTGTACTGTAGATTGCATTTTTACAATGCCTTTTTTTTTTAAAGAAACAAGTCAAAAATAAATTTGACAAATAAAAAGGCGATATATATACTGTCATAAACACACTGGCAAACAGTCCATAGTGTAAGATGGAACATGTGCAAAAGGTGAGATTTCTCCAAACTGTTAAACTATTTAACTGGCCATCTCCGAGCCTTTTACTAGAGAACTTTCTGAAAACTTCTGACAAACTAAAATTTTTCTTTCTCCACATCCCCACAGGTAAACAGGTAAGAACTGTAACCTTGTTAATATTCAGTATTAATCAATTGCTTAAAACATTGTAAGAAATTATTCAATAGTTAACAATTTCAAAAGTTTGAAGAATGCCCCAGAATTTCAAAGTGGCTCATTTACAGTAAATTCAGGGTGCAGCTTTATCAGGTTTATCAAGGAAAGATGACTGAGATGTAGGGAAGACTGTGGTAGCATTTCTAGTTGTGGGACTAACAACAGGAAGCAGTGATGAAGACAGGGAAGGAACTTTTGGTGCTGAAGTGTTTAGAGCATTCAGTATGGCTCCCTCTGGACTGACCAACAGTTTTTTGATAGAACCATCTAGCTGAAACACTGACGTGTTGCTTGGTAAATGAGAATTTGGAGGATGAACAGCAGAAACAGAAGATGTAGCTACATTAATAGGAGACTTTGTCACTGAAGATACAGACAGAGTTACTGCAGACAGTGGAGGACATGAGCTAGCTGGAGTACTAAGTATCTGGGGTGTTGCATGTACGATTGGTAAAGCATCTGCAGCTCCAAAAGAGTTCACAATTTTTGTAGAGCTTTTCAAAGGATGTTTTGGTATTTGCCAACTTAATGAATGACTTGGTGCTAGGATGATTTTTGAGGTTATTGGATTAACAGTTGGTACACACTGAGGCTCTTGACCATGGTTAATTGTTAAAGGAGTCTGTTTTGTATTACAGGAGAGAAGAAGAACATGGCTGCCAACTCCAAGGCCTTGTAGTGGAACAACAAAACGAGTACCATTAATCATTATCTGAGTTCCAGGTGCCAAAGGCATACAAGTGTTAATGACTATTTTCTGCTGAGTGGAAGGTTCAGTCAATGGAATTCCTCCTGTTTTGCTTGTTACAAGGGTCGAAGCTTCAGACATCTGAATGGTAGAAGCACAAGCATAATCATGACTTTGTTTCTCTGTACTGGGAGGCACCTGC